TAGATAGATAGATAGATAGATAGATAGATAGATAGATAGATAGATAGATAGCACATGCATTTAATCCAGAGGCAGAAGCTGGCTAATTTCTGTGAGTTCGAGGCCAACTTGCTCTTCATAGGGAGTTTCAGGATAGCCTACCTAATAAAACTCTCAAAAACACCAAAACAAACTCACCCAAATTTGTGTAAAGTAAGGTCAGTGTTGCTGGTGATGCGCCCAGCCTGCCCTCTAGTGTTTTATTTTAAGTGCTACCAAATTTTAAGACGTCTTAATCTCAAAATATCCATTTAATAGGATTAAGAACTGTGTCATCAAATGAACAGAATAAGGCTAAATCTCTGACACGAATGAAAGTCACATCAGAGACTAGTGAAGGTCCTTCCAGAAGTGAGTGGCATTTCTCTGGGGAGAGCTGTAATATCAATGGTAAATATACAGTATTTTAAGTTTTGTTTGTGAAGCAGGGCATGAACAGAACGAGAACAGTTCAAATGCCATATAAAATATGATTATGTTATTACTAACTAATATAGCTGCTGTTCTTTATTAATGTATTAAAAAACATTTCAAATGTTAATTAGTGAAGTTTTAATGTAACAGATATGCATAAAGTAGACAAATATGCTTTTTTTGTGGAAAATTAAGACAATGTGCCATATTTTACCCGATTTAATTTTGTTAAAATATGCAGTTGTTTTAATTTATCTTGTCTTGATAAAGCTTGAAGTATTTGTATTTGGAATATTTATAACTAATGTAAACTAAATTTCATTTAAAAAAAGAGGTCCTTATCATAGAAAAAATTTAAGTGCACACTATATATCGTGATAGGTTTTGTAAGAAGTATGAGACTACTCTGTCACATCTGAAATCACAGCACATGGGAGATGGAGCTAGGAGGGCTGAGAATTTTAGACATAGAAAGTCTCCCTGACATACTTTAAAGTTTGCCTTGAGACATGTTTTCTGTTGATAAGAAAATCCAGTGAAATTTGGACTCCAGAGTTTTATGATCACTCTTATACACTGGCTTGGCTCTCTAGTACCTCATGATTCTGATGGTACCATGTTGTGGTTATTGAGGCAGGGGCTTGCTATGTAGCCCAGGCTGTCCTGGAACTCTCAACCCAATTGCCCCAGTTTCTGTGCACCACCATGCCTAGCTTGATGCACATATTTAACTGTCAGAAAGAATGTAAACAAAATAGGACTAAATGTAATTTGTTTACCTTGTGAACTCATAGTGTATGCATCCTTATGCGCCAGACATTTTAGTTTTAACATGAAGTATCTAAAGCCATAAAGAGAAATTGACAGAAAACGTACCTTGAAGCACGGTGCATTTTCAATTGCTTTGCAAGAGGTTAGCCTCAAGGAAAGCATTAAAGCAGGTTGGTTTTCCCCTTATAGGAACACTGGACCATGAAGCCACAGCTCTTGGTGCTGTCTGTGTATCTGCTGTGGTTGAAATATTGTCACAGTGCACCTGCTTGGAAGGACACAGCTGTTTCGGATGGAAACCTAAAGAGTATGCTTGTCTTGTCTTCCCTGTTTGCATGTTTGCCTGTTCTGCCGATGTTTATAGGGACTTGCAATTGAAAGATAAGTGTGTTCGTTATATTTCATAGTATTGTAAACCAAGTATTCACTATGTCAAACATCTGGATAAAAATAGAAAACTCCAATAAGTTTCCACAAGCCAGCATTCACATATCCAGATATTTGTCATTATGCAGATAAACTTGCCAGCTTTTGGCTGAGTTCTCTTTTGTATTATCCAGATGTTTGGTATCATCTTGACACATCTTTTTTATAAAAGATTTATTTATTTTATGTACATAAGTGCTCTAGCTGCATGCCAGAAGAGGCCATCAGTATAGATGGTTGTGAGCCACCATATGGTTACTGGGAATCATGACCTCTGGAAGAGCAGGCAGTGTTCCTAACCTCTGAGCCATCTCTCCAGCCCCCCTTGACATATCTTTAATGAACAGCAAAATACTTTCCTAGCATAAAAAAAAACTTAAACCAATAAGGTAGTTTGTGTAATTATTTTTAAACTAGTCAAGGGGTGGGTTGTCATGACAGTGAATCTGGTTGTTCTGTGCCCAGTAAAGTGTGACCTTTGTTTGGTGAGATAGATTTGGGGCATTTAACATTTAGCAAATAAATTAGCTAAGGTGAAGTTGATTTGAAGTCTGTAATTATATTCAAGAATAACATCATAAGAGTGCCACATTGGGTAAAGAGAAGACAGATGAGAGTGAATTTTAACCACCGAGGGCCAGTTAATGGTACAGAAGAGATTTCTATTAGGTTACTAGTGAAACTTGTGTTATATGATATATGTTAGTCTGTTGGCTTCTAGGAAGGTAAACATAACTGAAAAATGTAAATTGTCCACTGTGTTTGAAGTCCTCTGCTGGGTATTTCATATAAACTATCAAGAAAATTGAGATTTTTTTTTTTCTAATACAAACATACTTGAGTCTCTGGTGATAGAAAAAAAAATGGATAAAGGAAAACAGGGCTTGTGAAAATGACAAGACTGAGATCAAATAAGCTCAGTTTGTTCAGGAGCTCCCATGTGGGAAACAGAAGGCAGTGGCAGAGTGGCACCTGTCAGCTAATTCATCATGGAGTGCTTTTAGAGCTACAGGCTTATAAGAACAGTTAAGCCTCTATCTAGAGGGCACCAAAAACTGGGGAAGCTAGGTTTTCTAATCTGATCAAATTTAAAGAAAGTCCAAACATGTCTTTTAGGTCTTCTAGAGGTGGGAGACGCAGATGTAGAGAGAGAGGTGAAGAAGGCCTTGATTGGCATTAAGCGGATGAAAATCATGATGGAAAAGAGAGAGGAGGAGCATGCCAAACTGATGAAAACCTTGAAGAAATGCAAAGAAGAAAAGCAGGTAGCATCAATGAAAAACTCTCTGTTCTTAGGCATATTTGGGCTATAAAAATCGCAACAATAAATATGTGTGATTAGTGAACGACGTCTTTCCCTATGTCACATTTCCTGGAGAGCAGTCTAGATTAGAGAAGATGGAGAAAGCTTTACATTTCCTTATCTGGTCCTCTTCCACAGGACCTTGAACACAAGGATTTGATGATGAAAGCCTGGTTAAGAAGGCTGCTCTTTCAAAATGCTTCATTTGTCGTCTCATCTGAGTCAAGACATTGAGTCAAAGTGTTTGGAGAGGTTTTGGCTAAATCAGTAGTTTCTAGTCCCTATTAGTGAAATTAAATAAGTAAAAAAATTAGACACCACTCCTAAACACACTTAAGAATTCCGTATTTGTTTTCTTTATTCTTTAAATACTTATTTATTTACTTACTTACTTGCTTACTTACTTATTTTGTGTAAGGGTCTCATGTAGACCAGGCTGCGGCTAAGACTGGCCTTGAACTTTCCACTTCCTAAGTGCTAGAATTGGGTATGTATCATCATGTCCAGTTTTGAAGTTTACATTTCAATTATTCTCCTGGCTGTTTTGAAACTATCATCAGATCTGTCAGATCTGATTAGATCACCAGTCTTGCCCTGTCATGTGGCCAATAATGAGCTTATAATGAAGGACTGTTAGTCTGCCCTACTTCTTGACACCTGCACTCAGTCACTTGTGGGCTTTACCTCGCTGGGTTTCTTTCCCCCCCCCAAGAATCTGTTACAGCCCCCTAGCCTTTCCCCCTAAGAATCTGTTACAGCCCCCTAGCCTTTCCCCTAAGAATCCTAGCCTTTTTTTTTTTTTTTAAGAGTCAGTTTACTTGCAGATCAGCAAGATGGCTCAGGGGGTTAAAGCACTTACCACCAAGCACGATGGCCTGAGTTCAGTTTTGGAACCACCTGGTGACAAGAGAGAGTGGATTTTCACAAGCTACCCTCCAACCTATACATGCACGATGTGGCCGCCTGTGCCACATGCGTGCACACGCACACACACGTAAGTAAGTAGATAAATGGAAAACATTTGAGAGCTAGTTTAGGTGCAATAAGGTAAAAATTCACTAGTTCACATGAGTCCTCTGAAAAGGTACCTCATTACTACAAATAGAAGGCAAGTAAACAGGGAACTGGGGGAGCCCTAGCTGGTACCTAAAGAACGAAGGGACCCCTTCTTAAGGCGTGGAATGTCTGGCAGCACTCAAACAAAGCAAAGCATATTAAATAGCACACTGGCCTACCCCATTTCATTGCATTTATCTTTTGCACTGTCAGTGGTTGTAACAGGGGCCTCGACTACTAAGCTACAGCCCAGTCCCACTTTATTTTTCTATTTTTAGTTTTTGAGATGCTGGGCTCCACCACTGAGCCATATGTGCCAATCTATTTTTTAAAAGAATATTTTTTCTTACGGTTGTAGTCCAAATATGTATTTTACCAATAGAGAATATAAATTATATTCAAATATCCTTGAAAATGTGAATAATTGCCCATAAGCTGATGTATAATGCTCAGTAAATTTCCAGACTATAGACACTGTATACATCATAGTTTAATAATATTATCAATTAATATAACACTTAAAACAAATTCTTAAAGTTATATTTCAATATTGCCTTTAATCAACATAGCAATAAAAACTATAACAGAATAATTTGGAAAATCTGAGTAGGTGGCTCATGCCTGTAATCCCAGTATTCAGAGTATGAGGCAGAAGGATTGCTATGAGTTCAAGACCAAACTCAGCTCGATATTCATTTATAGGTCAGCTTGGGCTAGAGAGTGGGATCCTGTCTCAAAGCATAAACAAATAATAAAATATTTTTAAATGTTAATGTTGATAGTTACTTTTTGTTTTTAAAAAAGGTTAAAATTCTGGCAAAATATGTTAATGTAAAATTTACCATCTTACTCTTTTCTTTTTTTTAATTTTCTTTTTGGTGCTGAGTATAAACTCTAGAGCCTCTGAGTTCAAAGTGTGGAGATCTGAGTTCGAAGCAAAGTGCAGTGCATGTACCTGTAACTGGATCCCACGGATAGGCAAACCTCCACATTGGTCAGCCAATCTATCCAATCACTGAGCTCAAGGATCACTGAGACCCTGCCCCCAAAAATGTGGAGAATGGTATAGGAAGACACCTGACATTAATTTCTGCTCTCCACACATGGGCGTGCACACAAATAATACTCATACACAAGTACAATTAAAAAAAATACCAGTGGCATTCCAATGTACAACTGTATCTTTACCTATATTCTTGTAAAGTTAGGTGCAATGAATTTCAGATACCTCCTGGAATCTTCTTTCTTGCACACTGTGGTCTCTGGGAGTCCAAAAAACAGTAAGTGTAGAGTCTGCTACACAGACCCCAAAGCTTTGTAATGGCATCTTACAAGGTAGCTGGCAGCTGAAAGGCCTCCCCACTTTTGGCAGCCATAAGAAGATGGTGAGGAAATCTAAAAGAGTTCCTCATCAGGACAATGTGGAAGGCCCCATGCTGGTTCTTTTCTGGTGAGATGATAGTCTGGCCATCTGGGACCAGTGACACTAAATGTACAAAGTACATACAAAGTACACCATCTTATGGAATCCTTTAAACATCTGGGTCAACCACACTTTGATTTTTGCAGCTAGGAATGATGAGGTTGAAGCTATTAATTAACATGTTGCTCCCACACTGCCAGAAACAAACTTGGAGGAAGCTAGCAGATGTGAATGGGTAGGGCCTGCTGACCTGCTGCTGTTCTTATTTTCTTAAGCCACCAACAAGCTAAGACTGCAATACTCAGAAAAGATCATTACCGTGACGACCAAAGAAGCAAACTTGGGCTTCATAATTGGTCCTGAAAAATCACAGCAACTAGTAGAGTTTTTATTCTTAAAACTTTATTTGTTGCATAAAAATTCATTGCATTAAACCCTAAGTTTGAAAAAAAAAAGCGTAAATTCCTAAAATGACTTTAAACCTAGAATAAAGGCTCAACAAACTATGAATTGGCTAAAATGAGTTGGTGCAACCAGTCTTCCAGTGATGAGCGCCACTTATCCCACGTGACCTGGCATCACCATGGCATCCTTACCTCACCCTCTTCCCATTAATAAATATCAAAAACATGTATTTTTGCTTGGTTGGTTTTGGAACTTTGAGACAGGGTCTCATGTAGCCCAGGCTTCTGATGCCCCCTGCATCCACCCCTCAAGTGCTGGGATTACAGCATGCACAGAACTAGGAACATCCCAAACTTGCTTTCACTAAAATGGAAAACCTCAGAGCTCTAAAAAATCCCTCTACCCCCAACTTCTTATGTTTTGAGGAGTGGTAACTCTGGGACAGTTCCAAGAATGGACCTGTCCATGGATAGAATATCTACATGAATCAAGAGGGATGGGCAGGCATTCCTTACCCAGATATCTTCTTCACCTGTGTTCCTGCCAGCTTCCAAGTCTCGGAAGTGTGTAATTTAGATTCTGCTTCTTTGGTGGAGACTGGGAGGAAGTCTGGAGTCACTGGTGACAACAATGTGCTTTACCTTCCTTATCTCACCCCCAAAGACTTATGGGATAGATTTCATTGTTATTCTGAATTGCAAACAGTAAGACAACTAATTATACTAAGTAATTTGTTCAATGGCATACAGCAACTTTAATCCAGAATTGGGAATACTAGGATTTTGGGTTAAGGGAACAATGTGAAAAATATTCAAAACTGGAACTCGTTGAAAAAGTCCATGATGCCTTCCATGATGAAATAATCATTTTAAAGAAAATATTTATCGTAAGTAAGAGAGAGAGAGAGAGAGAGAGTGTGTGTGTGTGTGTGTGTGTGTGTGTACACAGGAGGAGACCAGAGGCATTAAATACCCTGGAACTGTCACCAGGTGTGGGTAGTAGAAACTTGTCTGCTACAGGAGCAGCAAGCCTGAAACAACCATTCTTAAGAAGATTCATGGTTCCCACACTGTTCTGAAAAGCCCAAGAGGGCAGGAGACTACTCTCATCCACAAATCCTGTCTGGTCATGATGTACATATGAGAGCTACGGTCCTGCTGGATTTCCTATGTAGGTTATAGGAAACACCACCTGACTCAGTACCTCCAATGAGGAAATCTGGAAAAGCCAATTCAGGCAGAGGAGACACAGAAGTTATTGGAGCTGGGCTGATATTTGTGGGTTTAACATATGCAGCATGAGCATGAGGACCTGACTCTAGATCTCTGGCACTCCACACAAAAAGCTGGCACAGAGGCACTTAACCTGGGTACTGGGACAGAGGGATGGGACAGAGACAGGTTGATTCATGGGTCTTGCTGGCTAGCCAGTCTAACTGATTAGTGAGATCCGGGCCCAGAGTTTAGTGAACAACCCTGTATCAAAAGAGCAATTGAGAAAGACACCCAACTTCAGCCTCTAACCTTCACGCATACATATGCACACACACCAACACATAAACGTAACATACACTAGATACACACAAACGCACATACACACACATTTGCAAGGGTAATCTGTGACAATTTCTATAAAGCTCAGCTCTTGGGAGGCTGAGGCAGGAGGATCAGGGCCAGCCTGAACTGCATAGTAAGATCCTGTTTTAGAAAATAATCAAACAAAAGCCTACAATAAATTGGTTGAAAAAAACAAAAACTTTTTTTCCCATGTGTTTTTCACTTGAAAGGTGGCTCAGCTCTGAAGCCTGGTACAGCCCTCATTTTCCTAAACACTGTCTCAGGCAAGAAGTCCACATGAGCAGTGAGGCCAGGTGTTTAATTGATGATGCAAGAAAGAAAAAAAAAGGCCCTTTTTGCTAGAGGGCTGTTCGAACCTCCAGGGCAGAACTGAGACAGGTATCATTGCAGTTGGCTCCTTATCAACAGTAACAGGCCCTAGCCAAGTACAGCCAGCACCACAAGGGGGCATGCTTGGAATACACACAAGAAAGAAACTAATCTCGGTAACTCACTGGTTATATACAAGAACTGTGCTTTCTTACAGTGCCTAACCACATACAATGATTTAAGGAACCTTAAAGAATTAAAATAGTTTTCTAAGACTTAAAGCCCACCGTCTGTGTTCCTCATAGGCTATCCGTGCAGATAGAAAAGTCAAAAGGTACTCAGTTAGGGATGACGTTGTCTTTGCTGTTTGCTCATCCACATTTAGTACACTATCAGACAACAAGTATTCAATAAATATTGGTAAGCAAATGAATAATGGTCTTCAATAAAGGCTCATTCAGAAGCCTCTTTATTAAACAGAACTTACTCTGGCAGATCTGTCAGCAGAAAGGAGGCGGAAGATGAAAACACTGAAGACATTTATAGGGTCTTAAATGAAATTTCTGTTGAAACCAGGACTTCTGTTGTGAAGGATGTCCCCTTGAACTTCTGATCCTCCCTCTCCCACCTTCCAAGAACTGGGATTGCAGGTGTGTGCCACCATGCCCCTTTAGGTGGTACCAGGGCTTTTTGAAGGCAAGGCAAGCACTCTATCAACTGAGCTAACTCGGCAACCCAACTAAGATACACATAGACTAGGAAATGTAAATGAGTCCTGTGTTTGTTATCTTTACCCAGGAGGCCCTGAAACTCCTGAATGAAGTGCAAGAACATCTGGAGGAAGAAGAAAAGTTATGTCAGGCATCTTCTGTGGATTCCTGGGATGAATGCAGGCCGTGTCTGGAAAGTAACTGCATGAGTTTTTATACAGCTTGCCAACCTGGTTGGTCCTCTGTGAAAAATATGGTAAGAGGAAAAGAGAGTTCACCATCTCAGGGTTCTTAAGACATCCAGGCCATCTTGGTTTTTCAATTATATTAACTATTAAAATACAGATGATTGATGTTGGCCTTTTGTGGTCTAGAGTATAACACCAATGTTATATATCACCATCGCTGTGTGCACAATTTATAGTTTAGAATAATCATCAGTGTTTATTCCCCTTATAAATTACACTCTGTAAATCCTGTCGAAGTGCCCCGACTTCGCATTGTATTCACTGTTTGTGAGAAGGTTTGCAGTAGATTGTAAGCCCTTTGACAGCAAGGATCAGATCTCATGTGTCTTCTTTCGAGGAGGCATCTAATAATTATCTGTCCATTTGCATTAGACATTGGTATTATAGTCTTTGATTTTAATCTTCTTTAATAGTTTACCCTAGAAACCATGTATTTGAATCTCTCTCTCCTTCTCTTTCTTTCTGTCCTTCCCTCTCCCTCCCACCCTATTTCAATTCTACAAGTAGCCCAGGCTGTCCTCAAATTCAGTATGTAGTCACAGGTGGCCGGTCCTCCTGACTCTACTCCCTAAGTGCTGGGTTACAGATGTGTAACACATAGGTCCTTCACTCCCTCCTTTCCTCCTTTGATTTATGGCGCAAGGTCTCCTCTGGAGGTGTAGGTTGACCTTGAGTCCATGATCCGTCCACCTTTGTCTCCCAAGTGCAATTACAGATGTGCAAGACCACATCATCTATTTCAATGAACTTTTCCTCTTATGTATTTGCATGCAAATGTGCATATCTGCATGTCTCCTTTTGCCCTACCCATGTGTTCTGTAGGACTGGCATGTTTCCTCTTTAATGCCCTTTGTCTGTCTTCTAGGCTTCTTGGCAGAGGGAGTCACAGAGGGTGGTGACCTACATAGCATTAGCTATGCCCCAGTAAAGTCTCTAATTGGCCTAGATTTTTCTTCCCTTCAAATAGTAAGCTGTATATGACATGGAATGGAGTTTTACTCTTCATATTAATGTATACAGCAATTAGAATATACTTCTGGCTTGGCAGTACCACACTCAATTACAGAAGAGCAGCCACCAGGATAAGGAATATGCCAAGTTAATTTGATGACACTATTGATGGCATCTGCTGTAATTTCGCATCTATAGTCATTCTCTGAAATGCCGGAATACAATGACATGAGTGCTGGAGACAGGAAATTCTCATTTGGGCCAGACATGTAACCTTATGAACATTTGGGGAGGGGGGAGGTCTTGTTTTTGCTGTTCTCTGAGATTGGGTCTTGCCTATTTGCTGCCCAGTGCTGTCTCAGTTCCTTGGCTTGAGTAATGCTCCGTCCCCCGCAGTCCCTAGAGAAGCTAGGATGATAGGCATATGCCACCTTGTCCAGCTTTGAAGTTCTATTTCTGTGGATGGAATCAGCGAACAAAAATTGTCGGAGGAAAGGCAACCCATGCAGATTTCTCTCTGAAAAAGGCATAGGTCCCATAAGCTTCCTGGATAACTGTTCGAACAGCAGGAGGCCGGTGCTGCAGACGTGATATTCCAAGCCTGATAACACTCAACACATTCTAGCACTGTGATACAAAGACAACTGTGGTCTGCCCAGACTTAGGTGTCACACAGTGTGACTGCTGAGCAATCTTCTTCCACTGAATGGCACTCAGGGTTCTGTGACTAGAGTTTTATTTCTTTTTTTTGTAAAGATTTATTAATTTTATATATATATATATATATATATATATATATATATATATATATATAGACACTGTTTTTTATGCACAGCAGAAGAGGGAATCAGACTCCATTACAGATAATTGAAAGCCACCATGTGGTTGCTGGGAATTGAACTCAGGACCTCTAGAAGAACAGCCAGTGCTCTTAACCAATGAGCCATCCATCTCACCAGCCCCAAGTTTTATTTCTTTAACTGTAACAAACTGGCCATTATCATTGTTAATTTACAATTGTCACTAAGAAACCTAATATATAACTATTCCTAAAATATATCTAGAATCTTTGGCTCAGTATAGATGTGTTCATTTTTTTTTCTTTTCATGAATTAATTTAGGGATAACAAGAAGCAGAGTATAAAGACAGTAGCATTCCACTAAATAATCATAAACAACAATAATTAATAATAACCAAGAGGTGAAAGATAGCAGAATTCTTTATAGTCCTGAGGCAAATTTTACAGTAGCTTGTAGTCAGTAACCTGCCAGCTGCTGCCAGAATATCAGGTTCTAGCTTTTCTGCTATATTTTGACCTTTTTAGCTCTCTGTGAGAAAATCTAAACCAGGAGGAATTTCAGGTCCCATTTCTTCAGGTAAAGTTAAAGGCAGCTGTAAGAATGGTAATATATCATCTCAAAGCAAATCACCTTTTCCTAGCTTATACAGAACTTAATTTGGAATGACTACCATATGCTGACTTTAAATTTTTCAGTAAGAAGTGTAACAGGCAGAAAAACATCTTTGTAAGGGGCTAGAGAGATGGCTTAGTGGTTAAGAGCACTATCTCCTCTTTCTAAAGGACCTAAGTTCAATTCCCACATGGCAGCTCGTAACTGTGTAACCCCAATTCCAAGGGATCTGGTACCTTCCCAGTAATGCACATAAAATAAAATTAAATACATTATTTTTAAAAAGAAAAACATCTTTGTAAAAGTAACTTTTATTTGCCTGATGTAACTGTCATCTTGGAGACTTACTGCTTCCATCTGCTAACCTAGTCCTAGTCCTAGTCCTGGAAGCTTCTAGCCTCCATATAATCTAACCTAGGCCTAGAATGTTTCCAGCCTCTGAGACTTACTGCTGAATAAGCTCACCCTTTCTCTTTCTGAACTCTGGCTAGCTGGTTCCACTTAGCTATTCTGGCTCAAACTCCTTTCCAAGATGACTGATTCACTCTGGCTTCTCTCTCAGTTTCTCACTGAATATCTCTGCTTGGCCTCAAATCAACTCTAGCCATCTGTTCTAATCTCGGGCTCCTCCTCATTCTGCCTCAGTCTGTCTTCACCTGTGTCTGGATTGTTTTCCCTTCAACCTGTGTCTATAAAACTCCTGGTGCTGGGGGTGTGACTCATGCCAATAATCCCAGCACTCAGGGAGGCAGAAGCAGGCAGATCTTTGTAAATTCAAGGCCAGCCTGGGCTACAGGCTAGGACAGTTACAGCCAGGACAGCCAAGGCTACAAGCAGAGAAACCCTGACTCAACAGTTTCACTAGGAGTGAAAACTGCCTCCCCTCTCATTCTCTGTGCTGCTCCCTTCAGTAGTTTCCCTTTCCTCTCTGTCCTCCTGAGAGTTGGGCATATCCTGTTTTGTCAAATCTTTCTCTGATTTGTCACTTTGCCACTTGGTTAGACATCACCCTCAAACATAGGTGCTTCCTTCTCCAAACTAATTTTACCTACAGTTTTTGGGATTAAAGGTGTGTGCTAAGGGTGTGTCTGCATTCCAGCCAGAGTAGACTGGATTGAAATTCCTTTACACACCTTTATTTTCTTTCGTGTCCCACTCTTCCCCTCAGATGGATCAGTTTCTCAGGAAGATGTACAGGTTTCTGTTTCCTCACAGTGAAGATGTGGAGGATCCCCCTGCCGTCGAACAGCCGACTAAGGAAGATTTACAAGTGATACAAATGGAAAACCTGTTCAGCCAGCTAGCTGTGGACGTGAAATCTCTCTTCAACATGAGTTTTCACATTTTTAAACAGATGCAGCAAGAATTTGACCAGGCTTTTCAGTTATACTTCATAACCAATGTAGACTTAATGGAGCCATACCCCGAGGCTCTATCTAAAGAGCAAACCCAAAAGGAAAAACTTGGGCAAAGGTGGGACATTCCCAACGTCTTCCAGCTGTTTCATAATTTTAGTCTCTCTGTTTATGAGAGAGTCCGAGAAATAATTACAAAGGCAATGAATGCAATTGAAGATTCGTGGGAACCACACAAAGGCCAGTTACTAAAGACTCCTCCCCTCTCCCCCTTTCTTCTCTTTCTCGATTTTTTTCCTTCTGCTTTTTTTGTGGTGTGTGCTAGAGTATCTACATGTTCATGTATGTGCTGGTGAACTTGTGGGTATGTGGCCCTATGTACGTGTGCATGTATAAGCCTGAAAGCAACGTTAAGTGTTACTCCTTAGGAACTGTCTTTCTTGTTTTGAGATAGGGTCTGTTGCTGGGACCCGGGGCTCACTGAGTTGGCTAGACTGGCTGAGGAGCAAGCCTCAGGGTTCACCCCACCTCTGCCTCCCCAGCACTGGTATTACAAGCACATGCCACCATGCTGACCTTCTTGCGGGGTGCTGAGAACTCGGGTCTTGTCTTTATGCTTTCATTTTAGGCACCTTACTGACTAAAGTATCTCTCAATGTTCCTTTTCTTTCTTTCACTACCTTTGCCAACCTTTATTTGTTTGTTTGTATGCCTGTTTGTTTGTTGCAAGGCATGATTTTTCTGTAGCCCTGGCTGTACTGGAGCTTGCTTTGTAGATCAGGCTGGCTTCAAACTCAGGGACCTGCCTAGCTCTGCTGGGGTTAAAAGTGTGTGCCGCCACCCCCAGTCCCTTCTTATTTGTTGTGTTTTAATGGGGTCTCATTACTGTTCAGGCTCATAATGGACTGGTCCACATCCTCCTGCCTCCACCTCCCAAATGCTGGGGTTACAGGTGTGTTCCCCTACATAGCTTTGACTTTCTATTGATCAAAGGCCAAGTAAAAAGCTACTTTTTGTTGTTGTTCAAACAGAAATAGGCTCCTGCTAGCTGTTCTCCATTTATGTCAGCCATAGCTGGCACCATGTAAACCAGATTCTCAATGATAATACAGGATCACACAGTTGGGTTCTATCTAGGAAGGGCTTAGCTCACACATTTTGGAAATGGAAGCCAGGAAACAAATCCTTTGTGTCACATTGTTTTATGGGCAGAGAACAGCCGTTATTACTGGAATTGTTGGGTTCTACTTCAAAGTGTAGTCGGTGTTTTTATAAGTGAAATGTTTTGTCTGGTCTCACATCCTAAGCTTCCAAATCCATCCAATATTCAGAACCAGTATCAGTTAGAAACACTACGTATATCAATCCTGGAGTAGAATAAAGTAATTTTCTCCTGGCCTTGTAGGTAGAGATCAATTATCTTGGACCAATGTCCAGAATGTGTTCATTAGAAGAAAATGATGCTCTTGTTTTTACACCTTGCATAGCTACTGCTATTTAAGTGTGCAACATAGGATTAGGTAGTATTTATTATTTATACAGTATTCTGCCTGAGTGTATGCCTGCAGGCCAGAAAGAGGGCACCAGATCTTGTTATAGATGGTTGTGAGCCACCATGTTGCTGGGAGTTGAAGTCAGGACCTTTGGAAGGACAGTCAGTGCTCTTTACCTCTGAGCCATCTCTCTAGCCCCCAGGTTTTTAATATTATTTTAATATTTAATATTTTTTAATTTTGATTAATTTTTAATCAAATAAATTTATTTATTTATTTAATGTATGTGCATAGTTGTATGTTTGGGTGTTGTTTATCAGAAGTCACTTGGTTTTTGTTTGTTAGTTTTTGTTTTAGTTTTTGTTGTTGTTGTTGTTTTCTTTAATATAGCCCTGACTGGTCTTCAATTTAGAGATCGCCTGCCTCTGCCTCCTAAGTGCTAGAATTAACCTTCTCAATGCCTGGAACTCACCAAAAAAGCTAGGCTAGCTGGGCGAGTAAACCCAGTCTCCATTTCCCCAGCACTAGCATTTAAAGTACATACTACTATGGTTGGCTTTTCTCAGGAGTTCTAGTGCTTACTACAGGAGCCTCCTGCTCCTGTAGTAAGCACGTTACTGACTTAACCCTCTCCTCAACCCTGTATGGTGAAATTTCAGGAATGTTTATGTGTGAATGTTGTATTCCCTACAGAGTTGGACCAGAGAGATAGGACTTCAGAGATGTTTCCAGAGCAAAACGGAGGAATGTGTGAGAAATTTGGCCAGAATTTATCTGGATGTTTCAAATTTCATAAAAGATGTCAAAAATGTCACGATTACCTTTCTGAAGGTGAATAATTGTTTTATAATGTCTTTCAGGTGTGTGTTTTGCTGTGATCGTGTGTGTGGGTACATGTGCACACATAAACCTGTGCATGCAGAGAACAGAGGATAGCCTTAGGTATTATTCCTCAGGTGCTGTCTGTTTTGTTTTGTTTGAGACTCGGTTTCCGACTAGCCTGGAACTCACCAAGCTGTCTTAGTCTGCCAGCCAGTGAGCTATAAGTCTTATCCTCCCCAGTGTGGGAATTATAAGCACACCACCATGTCTGACTTTTTAAAATTGGGTTTTGAAAATTGGACTCATAACTTCACGCTTTCCTAGCAAGCTCTGTAGTTCAGACATCTCCCAGCCCTGTTTGTGCGCTCTCATTCTAAGGATGTTCGTCCTAAAGGCTTACAAGAAATTACTCATTCAATGTATGTAAGCTAATCCTTTCATTTTCCTCAGTTCCATCACTGTGGATTTTTTTGTAAGTATGATTAAAGACTAGGAAGTGGTGGTGCATGCCTTTAATGCCAACACTCAGGAGGCAGAGACAGGTGAATCTCTTGAGTTCTGAGTTCAAGACCAGCCTGGTCTACAGTGAGTTCCAGAACAGTTGAGGCTACACAGAGAAATCCTGTCTTAAAACAACCACTACCACAACAACAACAAAGAATGTGTTATATGTATTTTTGTGAATATATACAGAAAGGAAAAACAATGATCAAATTAGGTCAACTCCCTTTTGCTCCATAGAAAAGGAAAATCCACTGATGAAAGAGAACTTTTCATGTAATTTGAAGGTAATATTTAGATAATGACATAATTTTGGGAAAGTGTAGTTCTTTCCAGTTAGGTTAATTACCCCATTGATATTTAAATTGAGAAATCGGATCTTCCTCAGAAGTTCCAGGAAAAGAAAGTTTTTTTCGGGGGTGGTTGCTTGTTTGTTTGTCAAGCTTTGGCTAAGAGTGACCTTCCCAAGGCTAGAAACCCTTTTTCCTCTGTCCTTTCCCTCATTTCTCTCTTTCCCTTAACTCCTTCCCCAGCCCCAGAGACAGACTGTAAATTTTTCTATAAAACTGTTTTGGTGTTGAATATTAGGAGCTAACACTAAGATATTGCAAGGCAAAAAAAAAAAGAAAAAAAAATTATGGCATGCCAGACTTATATTCTCCTCAGGAGTGGGAAAATGAAAGCAGCCCACACTAGAAAAAGAAAGGGCTTTCTCATGGCAAATGAGTAAGTGATTAAAAGAACAGATTTTTACAGTTATTTTTATGATCATAAGAGAGGTAAATGTTACGGTATAATCACTCAGGTAACATAGCATGAAACATTTTATGGTCATTCAGTTCTTAAAACCATGGAAACAGTTTACAGCGTGCAATTCACAAGATTATTGAGGAGGAACAAATCAAGAAAACCAAGTTGAGCCAGGCAGTGGTGATGCACGCCTTTAATCCCATCTCTTGGGAGGCAGAGACAGGCAGATCTCTGAGTTTGAGGCCAGCCTGGTGTACAGAGTTAGTTCCAGGACAGTCAAGGCTACATAGAGAAACCTAGTATTCAAAACCAAAACCAAAACCAAGTTGACCTCTAGCTAAGAACATGATCAAAGTCTAACATTGTTTAACCAAAAAGAAAAAGAAAAATGGACTCAGTGGTCCATTAACAAATACAAGAGCAGTTTTTTTTTTTGTTTGTTTGTTTGTTTTATTCCTATGCTTTTGCATTTTATCTCACTAAAGAAACACTTAAAAGTGTGGTTAATGACTTGAAGGAGGAAGCTAGAAGATACACTAAGAACAATGTGAATTGATATCTTTATAAATTACCCCACAGTACTAGCTAGTCAGTTTCACTGTCTAGGGCTGTGATGGCTAAGCTTCATCTTGATTGAATTTAGAACCACTATGGACACCTACATCTGTATGTGGATAAAGTATTTCTTTTTTGCTGTTTTGGTTGGTTGGTTGGTTGGTTGGTTGGTTGGTTGGTTGGTTGGTTGGTTGGTTTTTCAACATAGGATTTCTCTGTGCAATAGCCCTCACTGTCCTGGACTCAATTTGTAGATCAGGCTGGCCTTGAACTCACAGAGATTCACCTGCCTCTGCTTCCCAAGTACTGGGATTAAAGGCATGTGCTACCACACCTAGCTAGCCTTTTCTTTCTTGTCCCCAAGAGCTCATGTTAATATCATAACATAAAACACAACCTAACTTTTAAAAGTTCTGCTGTCTTTTAAAATCCCATGTCCCTTTAAAATTCTAAAGTCTCTTAACTGTGTGCTTGATTTTAAAAAAATTGCATTCTTTCTTATTCCAAAAGGGAAGAAAAAGGGAATAGGAATACGTAAGCCAATGCAAAATGAGAGTGCAGTGGCATAAAGCCAAATCCTGTCGCTCAGTGTCCAGCACCTGAGACTCGCTGGCTCTTCTGGCTCCAAAAGGCCGATCTGCAGCACACACAGTGCATATTGCAGCCCTAGGTGGGTTCCACACCCCACACGCTGTGGTCGGTGGCAAGTGTCTCATGGTCCTGGCATATCCAATAGCTTGGGGGTTTACACAGTAAATGAAGTTCAACCTTCACCAATCACCTCTTCTGGCCTCTACAGAGACTCTGATCCTTCCAGGTGGTGCCAAGCCTCCACTGTTCTCTGTGACCGCTTCAAAGCTTCAAAACCAGTACCAGCCAGGCAACTCAAAATATGGCCTGTTCCTCTTGGACCCACTCCATGTACTAACTCTGAGGAAATATATATATAT